CGCATTACCCAATGCAGATAAAACAAAAACAAGAAACTACATTGCAAATAAAGTGAAATGCATAAAAAAGAAAGCAAATAATATTTTACTCATTGTGATTATTTTAAACATCTCTAACATGGTTTGAACAGCCATTAAAATTTGTTAATTATTCACTATGAATATTTTATCACTGAGCTAATGAGAAAAATGCCACTGCGCTAACTTTTTTTACAGTTTCATCAAATTTGGGGACCATTGGAACCAACTCACCTCGAATCTTATTCGGGTTTCAGCAAACTGTTTTGTTTTTTTGTCTTTTTTTTTTTTTTTTTTTTTTTTGTAAAGGCAACGATGGAAAATCAGACCCCATTGATGGATATACTTGGGAAAGGCGGTAATCGTAACACAGCCTCTCCCAGCGACCTCACGAAATTCATCGTGAATTGTTAACCTTCTTTTCTTCGAGTAACATCTTATAAATGCTTGTTCATTTGCTCTAGAAAGTCATTATCGGAGATTTCAGTCCATGAATTTAACCCTTGGACGACAAGAACCGGTGTAGAAGATGCCTGGCAAGCAAATAAATAACGAAAAATATCGGGATTTTAAAGAGTAGTTCTTAAGCTTATTCCTGCTTTAATTACATACAACAGGTCTAGAAATGAGGTTTGAACTTTTACATTTTAAAAATAGAGAAAACTGAATTAAAAGAAAGATGAGGATCCTAAAATGCAGGGGGTGGGTTACAATAACTCAGATAAATAATACTTTATTTTTATCACGATGAAAGACGGGAATACATATCGGAGCCGCTGTTTGGTTTCAAAGAAAGAAAGAAAGAAAGAAAGAAAGAAAGAAAGAAAGATTACCCAGATCAATATACACCTGAGGAAGGCCAGGTGGAACAACGACTGAAACGTTGTGATAATAATAGATGATGACAATAGTCCGAGCATAAATAGTCTAAATAATAACTCGTCATCTCAGATTTTCAGGGGCTTACGGCCATATCAAAAGAAATAAATAAAGAAAGAAAGAAAGAAAGAAAAGTAACGTGGATGAGGTAATAACATTCTCAGCTGCTTAACGTCGGCTTCAGTGAAATAAAAAATAACAATTTTAAACCTTTTTAATTGTACCCTTTTAGTACTTGTAATAATGACCTGCAAGCATTCCATGCAGAACAGATTTGTACATTCTTTGCATCAAGTTGTCATAATTATTTACTTGTTTTCTATGCGAAAAGTATGCTTTTTTTTTCGATCATTTCACACCAAGTAAGGTGATAATATCACTAGGAAGCTGAGGTTTAGTGAAAGTGAAAGAGAATGAGAATTAGTGAGGAGAAGTGAGGAAAAGGTCAATAAAGAAACATGGTTCAAGAAGAGAGAAGATAGCGATTGATGTTACATTTAAATTTTTGAAGATTGTAGTTATCAGGGAAGCTAGAAATCTGAAGTAACTGAAGAATAAACAGAGCTCAGGACAACAGTAAAAGTGCTAAGCTTTATTCGACTAAACTAAACTCAGATACAAAAAGAAAATAGGAGTTACAAGGTAAATAGCCAACTGGGGCGAGTCCATTGCTTGTACATAGTGAACATAAGATACTACTACCACAAGGGATTCCACAGATGAGAAGCCAGAAAAACTATTAGAATAGAAAATGGGGTTGCATCTAGCTAGTTCAACATTAAAAACGATGAAACCTATTTGATAATCTAGTAGCACATTTAAATTCATACAGTCGAAGCAGTAACGAGAACAGCTCATCAGAACAATTACCATGAAAATATTTGTAGAAAAGACAGAGGGAAACTACGTCACGTCGGTGAGAAAGTGACTGAAGTCAAGATGCCAGGTCAAAATCGATTACATTACAAAACCTTCTTTGATTTTTTGTCAAAAATCTCGAGATGATTGCTGACATAAAACTGTATTTGGTTTGTTCTTTAAGATTTATTTGCATATTTACTATACTCCAGGAAAACGGCATAAACCTCACGAATCTTTATAAATAATAACCTCAGGAATCCTAGAGAATCCAGTTAGTTATTTAGACTTGAATCATGAAGGAATAATGTTAATATCATTGGAGAATTTTAAGTCAATTGATAATATCCGTTGAAATATCAATTGATAATGGCCGTCGTTTAAGGTTTAAGCCATAAGGGTTTAGATTCTTGACTTTATAAGAACATAAAACAAAACAGTTTTCTAAACCCCGAATAAAATTTGACGTGTGCTGTCTCCAATTTTCTATTTAAGGAAATGATCTCTTGAGACGCAAAAATAGTTCTCTTAAATTAGCGATCACTTTATTTTTTTACTCAAATCGATCTCATCATTATCCTCATAGAACAAAGAGGGAGGAAGGGTGTAGCTTTATGTTACGTTTCAAACCAACACTCAAGCTTTTCTTTTAACATTTCTGCAGTTTCAATTGCAGAATTTTATTTTTCCTTTTCAACTGAATTTTTACGTTATATACATCAACAGAGGGCAAACTGTAAACTTAAGAAATAAGCTGAACCATTCAACTGTCATCTGAAACGCACTCATCTCTTTAACCAGCAACATCTAGGTTTCCGTCTTCAGCTACCAAAAATTAATTCCGAAGAACATTCTTGCTGATAGTCAACGGCTCTCCGTGAAGAAAACGATGTTTTTACTTCATGAATCTGCTTCAAAAGACAAATGTCTGGATAGTTTCAGGTTTAAAGCTCCTAATTTATTAAGTTCATGGCGTCCGTTCGTCCAGTCACAAGACGGAGATTGGCAATGCATCTTAATGTGTGTTCACAGAATATTACTGTTGTACGGCTTTACTTAGGCTATGAATCCTGGACGCAGATTCAACGCGATTACCACCACAAAAATCACACGTTAAACCTCACTAAAATAAAGTCATGAATGTTGTTGAATATGTCACTACCTCAGTGAGTCATTTTCAAAGACAGGCAAATAAGAAGCTCTTGTTCAATCGTGGTTTGAATCTTATTTATAGACCCAGAATATATCTGAAAACAGTATTCTACTGTAAATAGATAAGCTACTCAACCGGAAATTCATTCAACAACAGAAAATATGCGAAAAGTATATACTTCTTTTTCAAACAACATATCACAACTCAATAACAGAGTCCAAGAAGACAACAAAAATAACACGGAGAATAAGAAAAAAAACATCAGCTTAGAGAAATACCTTCAAACGATGTAATCTTTGCCTAGAGGAGAAAAATAGCGATACTCATCTTTTTAGAACACGATAAGCTCCGAATCAAAAGATCTGAAATCATTTCTAAATGCAGATATGAAAACAAATTCCTTCTCCGCGACCTACAAACATATTATGACAAAACTACTACAAATCCCGTAACGTAACTTCATAAATGACATAAAACAAAAAATAATCTGAATGACAAGACCAGAAATAAACTGACCGTATTCACCAATATGTGTCAGAAGTCAATGACATAAAAATAAATTAGCATTTATATAAGCATTTATTAAATTAAATAGATAACTGGTCATTTTTATTAATTGTTTTTTTTTATATTCTATGATATTTATTAGATCGTTGCAAACGTTCGTGTTTGATTCTTCTTGCCATAACCCTTCTGGACGGAGACGATCGTGGCCCTCCTTGTAGCTCTTAATAAGTTTTGTGTTTTTTGTTGTTTCTCCCAAACCATGTTCTACCATCCATTTACTCAAGCCCGTCAAGCATGTTACGCGCTGCTTTCCTCTGTCCATCTTTCCCTCAATCTGTCCTGTGAGTATCAAATTATCCAAGCCCTCCTTCCTCATTACGTGCCCCAGAAATTTCAGCTGCCTCTTCTTGATGTTAAGTATAAGTTTCCATTTGGTTACCATTTTCTCTAAAACCTCGTCGTTGCTCACATGTTCGATTACTGGTAACTTCAGCGACCTTCTGTAGAACTACATTTCTCTTGCTTCAAGTCTCTTTGGGGAGATTGTCCAGCATTCACTGCCATACAAGAGAACAGATATCATTTAATTTTCCAATACTCTTTTCTTTGTTTCTAGCGAAATTTTTATTTCTCTTAATACTTTGCTTAGTTTTTGGAATGCATCTTAGGCCACCATAATACGTCTTTGGTTCTGAGTGTCATACTTTCCATACTCTGTTATAACACATCTCCGATATCTGAATTTTCTTACTTGTTTGATTTTAGTATCTCTGATTTGTAATCTGCATTTTCGGCTCATCCGTTTACTGACGACCATGCATTCCATCTTTTTAAACTTAAAAACAAAATTTTACTTTATTTAAACGATTTATATTCGGACTATTGTCCTAATCTTTGTTGTTACCGCAACGTTTCAGCCGTTATTCCCTCCGGCCTTCTTCAGGTGTATATCGAACCGGGTAACCTATGGGGAATTCTGAACTCAATTTATTATTTAATCCACGGTGCTAAACTGTTCTCGTTTCACTACTAATCTCTAGGGATTATCCAGTTCTTATTTTTGATACTGCTCAGTTATTACTATTTACATTATTCGGATTATTGTCCTCATCTTTGTCGCTATATTTATTACAACGTTTCAGCCGTTGTACGTTCCGGCCTTCTTCAGGTGGTTGAATGTCGAACTAAACCCTTTATTTCACTGGGGTAGACAGATGCTCAGTTATTGCTCGATCATTTCCACTGAGTTCACATACGCACTACCCAACCCAGAGATTGAACTCATAACCACTATGTCACCAAATTCATGAACCAACGTTTTAATCCCCTAGGCCATTTTCCTACGGGTCAGCCGTACTAAAAATAAGAAGTAGACGCTATTCTTAGACACAGGCAGTGGAATGGGAACATCTAATCCTGTGGATTAAATAAAAAGGGTTCAGTTCAGAATTCCCTGAAAGTTACCCAGATCAATATACACCTGAGGAAGGCCAATAAGAACAAAGACCGAAACGTTGTGATTACAATAGTCCGAATATAAGTAGTGTAAATAATGATAACTCATCATCTCAGATTTTCAGGGGCTTACGGCCATATCAAAAGACCGGTTTTCATACGATCACCGAAGTTAAGCAACGTCAAGCATGGCCAGTAGCTAGATGGGTAACCGCTATGGAATACCAGGTCCTGTATGCGTTGATTTAGTGTAATGGATAATGGAATTGTTACTCGGAGAGCCGAGCTCCAATTCCGGTTGAGTTCATTATATTCATTTATGCACAAATACCCTTGGGAAAGGTATGAATCCACCTCTTCACCCCTAGCTATGGGTTAATTAGTAAGACTTGTATCACTAAAACTATTATCATCTCCAAAGAAAAAATAAAATTGCGTACAAAATATTTAGATTTCGGCATTATATAATCCATAGAGGTTGATATGCCGCTTAGCACAAACAATTAAGCGGTCAGAAATTCAGACATAAAAATATTTTACATGCTCACAAAAAGCATTTATAAGTCAAGTACATAGTCCCCATTGTTTTTAACAAGTGTCACCAATCGTTCTACTAGCTTGTTGATGACATTTTCGGAGAAACTTTGTGTTTTTTGTTGGAAGAAGATTGTGAGGAAGACGGTCGGGATTCCAGAACGGCTCCTTTTTGTTGCATAAGAACAAAGAAATCGCCGTAGAAACACGATCGGGGTTGTTCTGTTTTATCGGAGAAGATGGCATTGACGTGTCAAATTTGAAAGCAAACCCAAGTCTCTTCAAATGGCGAATGGCAGTTGAAATATCGATTTTCAAAACATTAGTAACCTCTTCCGTCGAAACCTTTGGTTTATACTCCACGATGACAAGCAGAAGATCCCCCGGAGTGTCAGCCAAACGTTTAGGCTAAAATCACCCTAACGAAATCTGCCAAATCACTTTTCGACCGTCTGAAGAACTGGGATACAAATTCAACCTTCTGAATGTTTTGTATCGCAGTTCCGACGCTTACTCCTTTCCAAAATACATAAATCATGATATGGCAAAAGTAAAACTATGTATACCCCATCTTTAAGGCATCCATTTTTGAACAAAATGTTAACATTCAACAAAGTCTGACTTGTAATTGAACAATGCAAGATTTCAATCTAGAACACACCAGAAATCGGCACCAAAAAAACAGTGTCAAATTGCAGTCATTTTAAATTAACAATGAATATCTAACAAACTTTTTGCGATGATCTGATCATATATATATATATATGAAAATCGTTTATTTTCTGAAGCTGTCAAACCACTAATATACCATAGCTATGTTGATGTCACATTTTGCCTTTTTGAAAATATAACGGAGAAAAAAAGTTTTATTTCATTTCTTAATGGTATGCATGGAAGTTGAAACTAATTCCGCTATATCTTTATAGGATGTTTTAGTATTTATCAATCCACCCACGAGGATAGAATGTGGCACAAGGCCGGTTTAATGTGGGTATCCCCGAGCCCGTAGGCTCGGCCAAAAATATAGCCTTTTTGAACCCGCCTAGACGGTTTCAGGGCCTGTCTACCTCCCCGAACGAAACCTTGCCCTTCGGCAAAGCTTCATCCGGGTTTCCTCTCTGCTAATGCTTTATAGGATGTTTTACTAACTAAAACACCATCCGGTTACACTGCATCAATCTATCGTAAACCAACTTTTACCGGACTATACATTCGACGGCATGCATTTTGTCCCAACAAACGCAAAGAAAACCTTATTAGTGCCCTTACACATAGAGCTTTGATGATCTGCTCAGAATCAAAACTACATGAAGAGCTGAAAACAATTAGTAATGCTCTAGCTAATAATTGATACACTTTGGATATTATTAAGTCGGTCATGAATAAGAAAATCTCAAATTTCTCTAAACCTAGACCGAGTACGGCTTCTAAATGCTCTTTGTATTTCCGTTTGCCCTGGTTGGGTTCAATAAGTAGTAAATTTGCCAAACAAATCAACTCAACAATTAAAAATTGCTATTTTTCCGCCAATGTGCGTGTTGCTTTTTCTACCGAGTCTCCTTCGGTGTCTCCTCGAAAGGACGTTCTGGGTCCCCACCATATTAATAATGTGATACATTTATTTACTTAATGTGGATCTAATAATGTTTCATTCGAGGAAATTTATAAAATGATATTAATGCTTGAATTTTGATAATTGTAAAATTCATTTAATTTCTAGCGCTAATACTTTTATAAGTGTTGTTCAATTTCTGCAAAAAAACATTTCTTGTTCACTTTGCTAGGATTTCCGCTCATATGTGTTCTCCTTTGTTAAAGAAACTGGTCCGATTTAGCTATGATATCGGTGACTTTATTCGTCCATTCACAAATGGAAGAACAGACATTGGAAATTGAACCGATGATCTCACAGTTCTCTATGACAGCACTGTAAACACTAACTTGTTTATCTCTCGGCGAACACGTGGTAAGTGTCTGAAAAAAAAAATTAATTCGTGAAGTTCTTTTTTTCTTTTTTTGCGTTCGTTTCAAATTCAGCTTCCGGCTTCGATTTTTTCTTCAACTTCAACTTTACTCAACTTCGAGGTTGGATGTTTCATTTCTTCCTTCGAAGGCGACTTCATTTGTGACTTGGACGCAAACGAAAAAGATTCATTTCGTTCCAGCACGCATGTTATCATCTTTCAATCAGATTTTGTCTTGTTTTATTTTAAAAGTTTCCCGAACAAATTTCACTTGGTCCTCAGTGTATGTTTTCAATCAAATTCCGAATTCCGTATTGAAATATGAATGAGTCAAAGTAATTTCCCAGAATTCAATGTTGCAACAAGAATCCTCCCGTGGGCTGAGAACCAGTTGAAATTCTTCACACTTTCGGCTCTTGAGGAACGTAATGACGCAAGCTATCTGTTCCTGCCGCTTTAGATATGGGAGACAAGAAAGAAATGATATAAAATGATCATCACCGAAATAATAATAATAATAATAATGATTCTATAAGAGCGCGATATCCACAAACGAAAAACAAAGACTGTCGTACTGTCGAAATATTGTTAAACGTTGTGTCGTATCTTTTCTTTGCTTTTCTTTTAATTATCTGGATATTGGCCTCTTTTGGTAATGTTGTAAAATATTGGAAGAGTTACGTGAATTATTATTATTATTATTGTTGTTGTTGTTGTTGTTATTATTATTATTATTATTAATAATAATAATAATAATAAAAATTCCTGAAAAATACGATAGAGTAATAATTTTAATAGTGTTAATATGAATTTAGGTCTTGCATTAATTTAAACTGAATAAAGGGATATTTATAATAAAATATGACAGTAATGATTGCGTTAGAAAATAATTGTTATATAGTAAGCAAAGCTTAGTTTGGCACAAGGCCAACTAGCAGATTAGCTCGCTACCTGTTAACCCACGCCGAGGCAATCAATATATTTATCAAGCTTATTATAAAGACACAAGTATGCGGCTATATACAGCCTCCAAGATTCGATCTAAAATCTCCAGAGCCGGAAAGTTACCAGATCATGATTTTTGGTAAGAGCTGACATTCCCAGCATCATTTTGCATTGTAGGATGTCGTATGATTGTGTATATGTTAAAATGTATTAACAGATTAGATGTCGAGGCAAATGCAAGTAGTATAGGCTCATAACCTGTTACATTGAGAAAACTTTACTGAGGATGAGGGAAGTAGGCATGAATGAAATCTTTTACATTATTATTATTATTATTATTATTATTGTCGTTGTTGTTGTTGTTGTCGGCTTCTTGTTTCCCAGTCAACTTTGATCTTCAAAAATGTAAATGCACAAGGCACATGTTTTGGTCGAGCCACATTCTTTAATTTCTACCAGTTCAGATCTTTATACCTAAAACCCGTCATGCCATATAGACAGGGTTAAATCATCCCCATTTCAAGATAGTGGACTGGTTTCCTGTTGACTTCTCCATAGTTTTAAAACAAATTACCTTGCTAATCTCTTAAATTTCCAAATTTAAATAAGTGTATACCGCTCCTTTTATCCGAGAGGCAAGAGTACAGAACGAGGAAAACTACTCTTGTCACTTGTCATAAGCTTATTTAAAGTTTGAAATTTAATAGCCTTCTATCACTTGCATTTTGTTTGCATCTCATATTCATATGAAGATTATATGCGTGCAAGTGTTTTGTGCATATAAGAAATAAACATCACTTCTTTGTACGTGTATATTTACATAATGTATAGCGTAGATGTGTTTGCGTGTGTCCACGAATGCACAATGGTAGACAAAATTTCTAAATCTGAATGCGTGTTCTTTTGAACTGGACGACTATTTTCCTCTATTGTTATCCGAGGGCAGCCTTGTAATAAAATCAATCTGTATCTAAATACGCATCGATTGATTTTGCACCTGCCTTGAGAGCGTGCCCAAACACAGTTCATCCGACACAGTGTCGAAACTTGGGCTCTTTTTTTTTATCTTACTTTTTTTTTTCTTTTTAATTATTTGTTTGTTTCTTTCTTTCTTGGGGACTCAGTACAACTTGAGCAGTCAGGCTTGAACGCTTTTTTTTTAACAAGATTTACATGAAAGGAGACATCTTAAAATTGGCACGGTAGCGATTGGCTCAAGCCCAGTTGGATATGGAATTAAAAACAAAAAAAAAACAAAAAAAAAACAACTGGCACAAAGAATAGGTAAATATTCCAAAATCAACCCAAAGGAAATCACTGTCTCTACCTGTTTCTTTTTTTTTTTTCGGAGAAAATCGTTGTAAACCAGGATATTGTTCTGAAACTAGTGACAAATATGTGTGGGGTTTTGTAAGTTCAAGTTTTCAATGAGACGATTGATTTGCATCCAAGAAAAAGCACCAACGATTTAGGTCGAAAAACTTAATGTTTCATGTTCAACAGACAGACAGACGATATGTATATCTCAAGCGAATTGGAAATAAAAACTTGCAAAGAGAGAATTTCGGTTCAAGAAGCAAAACGTTTCACCATCGACAGCAATCTCTTCCACCGGAAATGACAACCTTTCATTGTTTTGCAGCACATTGTTACACAGATGATGAAAAATGGGTTTTGCATATCAAATGAAAACAAAAAGATGAGTGGTTATCACAAAATGAGACATCTGTGATAAAACCAAAACCAGTACTTATCCACAAAAAAAGCCATTGCTTTTTGTTAAACATAATATGA